AACTAAAACCAAATGAAGATTATAAATTAATATGAGGAATCCGAATGATGATTTACAGTTGATGGTTAAGGTCAGGAATTAGATTTAGGATTTTCATCATGAACTGACATCAGTTAAAATACCAAAACTCTATTTATCCAGACGGATAAGTGAATTTTGCGCCAAAATCCAAGACCTGCTATCTAATACCTGATTGATTTGTCCATAAATTAAAGTCTCGCCGATCATAATATACAAATTTTATGAAGATGATTAAATTTTATAGATTATTGCCTTTCGATCTCCCTAAACCCTCTATTGTAATAGTAATAGTAATAATAATAATCATGTACTCACTAAAGCTTGGTTCCGAATGATAATCTTTGAAGTTCCAGTAAAAGGTCGCGATCGGTGAAGTTCAGTTATATCTAATGTGAGGTAACTATTCAGTGACAAAGAATGATAATTTTGTAAGATTAAGAATTGATTGATGTTAAAAGAAATCAATGGAAAGCAACTCATTGGTTTATGGGTTTAGAGTTGACTGTGAGACTTGAATGAGCTAGGTAGATGTTCACTATTAAAGAATCCAATAATAGGATGAAAATGTAGAGCCAATGAAATTTCACTGAGCCCTAGACAAATCATCCGGCAGTTGGGTCAGTGAATATCGAACAAATCATCGATCCTCATCAAGGACAAGAAAAACCATCGTGCATCAGGTAGTCGTATGCCATGGACTAGCGCATGCGGTGGTGGTCTCTCTATCTTCTCTGTACTCATTCTTACTAAAACATTTTTATAGTAACGTCCTTTGTGTTATACCGTCTTCACAGCAGCCATGGTAATTTGGAACATCGAAGGGGTAATCCATGTTAGATGCTGACCGCGAGGTGTGACTTCCAAGTTAGCTGGTTCATCATACCATTCCCGTCTAATTCGAATAGATTTGCAATCATTCGACATAGATCATCTACGTTAGTGATCTACAAAACAAATGACTAATGCTTTCTGATTTTCATCGACTATTTAACTAATGTCTATCTACAATATAATCTGTTTAACCTAAAAATATTCCCTAATTTTTGCACTAGATCAATTGCCGTTATACTATGCTCATATTTTAAGCTAAATACATAACGTTTGGTATATTTGTAACAATGATATTCACAAGGTATTATTTACTTGTATCTTCCTATTGATGTTTACGACTGCAATTGATCAGTCTCTTTCTTATTGGCATATGTGCATCCTGTGCAGATCACTTCGATATAGCTCTTTAAACAAAGATGGATAGTGGCTAGAAGCGGAATTTAGTTTGACTCATGTTTCGTCTTATTCCCGACTGGTCAGCTGAATGTACCTGCATCTCAAACATGATGTTCACTCTGTGACTCGAACTCAGTACCGTTCACTTCAAACGCCATCGCATTATCCACTTAGCTACTGAGTTCTTATAGCCAATTTCATGTGCAATAGGGTAAAGTTTAAATACACTTGGTGTTGTTCGCTTGTATCTTCCCATTGTTGTTAAGGTCTACAACTGATCAGTCTCTCTCTTATTTCCATATGTGTATCCTGTGAAGATTGCCTCGATATACGATTAATTGACATATTGATGTGTTAAAACAAATAGGAAAACAGATAACTTGTTGAAATTTCTAGATGGTAGGAATAGATAGCCCAGATATTCAAGTAGGTTGCCTTGGTTACACTTCGATATAATTCATATTCCATTGTTCAACAGCTAATTGATATCAAAATACTTTTCAAATCAAAACAAAGTTGAGATATCAACATTTAACTCATTTTGAACCAGTCAATGTTAATTTATCTCAGATTTCTAGTAGAATCGGATTATTTTTTCTTTAACAAAAATGCCCTGGTGCAGCCGAAAGTGCGGAGAGTCAGCTCTCCCTCTTGAAATGCTCTCACATGGCCACGTGTATATAGCCTCTGCCAGGGAAGTCCTACTCATTCTCTTCTCGCGACATTACTGTTGTCTACCAAGTTGAGAGGATGAAAACCGAATGTCCGGGGCTTTAACCGGGTTGGTGGACACGGTGAGTTCACCTAGGGGAGTTGGAAAACCCCGATTCCAAACCAATCGTGCACATAGGCTCTAATGTCCTGAAGGAACGAATGGCGTATGAACCGATAACTTATCACTGGCTACCATGGGACTGTATCTCCTTACGATGCTCCATTGACTTGTGGATTAGACTTTTAGGTTTAAGGCTGCGGTTGTGGCTCCTTAAGAAAACCACCTAATTCCGACTGGGAACCCGGGTAGTACCATAGCTCACATACAAATTAAGTGACTCGTGTGGCGCATATGTATTCGGTGCCCCTTTGTACCAATATTTATGTGCTCAAATAAATAAATAAATAAAATAATATTTTTTTATTGAGCTATTAATGTCACAACTTGATAACTATGTATAAGTGTATTTATTCAATTTACTATAACAATTAATACACATGCAAAAATTAGTATTATTATTATTTACAAATGTAAGCACAAGGAAAATGCTCAAGTCATAATTCTTAATTAGAATCATGAAAATTCACTAAATTTTGGTAGTAGTAGTAGTAGTAGTAGTAGTAGTAGTAGTAGTAGTAGTAGTAGTAGTAGTAGTAGTAGTAGTAGTAGTAGTAGTAGTAGTAGTAGTAGTAGTAGTAGTAGTAGTAGTAGTAGTAGTAGTAGTAGTAGTAGTAGTAGTAGTAGTAGTAGTAGTAGTAGTAGTAGTAGTAGTAGTAGTAGTAGTAGTAGTAGTAGTAGTAGTAGTAGTAGTAGTAGTAGTAGTAGTAGTAGTAGTAGTAGTAGTAGTAGTAGTAGTAGTAGTAGTAGTAGTAGTAGTAGTAGTAGTAGTAGTAGTAGTAGTAGTAGTAGTAGTAGTAGTAGTAGTAGTAGTAGTAGTAGTAGTAGTAGTAGTAGTAGTAGTAGTAGTAGTAGTAGTAGTAGTAGTAGTAGTAGTAGTAGTAGTAGTAGTAGTAGTAGTAGTAGTAGTAGTAGTAGTAGTAGTAGTAGTAGTAGTAGTAGTAGTAGTAGTAGTAGTAGTAGTAGTAGTAGTAGTAGTAGTAGTAGTAGTAGTAGTAGTAGTAGTAGTAGTAGTAGTAGTAGTAGTAGTAGTAGTAGTAGTAGTAGTAGTAGTAGTAGTAGTAGTAGTAGTAGTAGTAGTAGTAGTAGTAGTAGTAGTAGTAGTAGTAGTAGTAGTAGTAGTAGTAGTAGTAGTAGTAGTAGTAGTAGTAGTAGTAGTAGTAGTAGTAGTAGTAGTAGTAGTAGTAGTATAGTAGTAGTAGTAGTAGTAGTAGTAGTAGTAGTAGTAGTAGTAGTAGTAGTAGTAGTAGTAGTAGTAGTAGTAGTAGTAGTAGTAGTAGTAGTAGTAGTAGTAGTAGTAGTAGTAGTAGTAGTAGTAGTAGTAGTAGTAGTAGTAGTAGTAGTAGTAGTAGTAGTAGTAGTAGTAGTAGTAGTAGTAGTATAGTAGTAGTAGTAGTAATAGTAGTAGTAGTAGTAGTAGTAGTAGTAGTAGTAGTAGTAGTAGTAGTAGTAGTAGTAGTAGTAGTAGTAGTAGTAGTAGTAGTAGTAGTAGTAGTAGTAGTAGTAGTAGTAGTAGTAGTAGTAGTAGTAGTAGTAGTAGTAGTAGTAGTAGTAGTAGTAGTAGTAGTAGTAGTAGTAGTAGTAGTAGTAGTAGTAGTAGTAGTAGTAGTAGTAGTAGTAGTAGTAGTAGTAGTAGTAGTAGTAGTAGTAGTAGTAGTAGTAGTAGTAGTAGTAGTAGTAGTAGTAGTAGTAGTAGTAGTAGTAGTAGTAGTAGTAGTAGTAGTAGTAGTAGTAGTAGTAGTAGTAGTAGTAGTAGTAGTAGTAGTAGTAGTAGTAGTAGTAGTAGTAGTAGTAGTAGTAGTAGTAGTAGTAGTAGTAGTAGTAGTAGTAGTAGTAGTAGTAGTAGTAGTAGTAGTAGTAGTAGTAGTAGTAGTAGTAGTAGTAGTAGTAGTAGTAGTAGTAGTAGTAGTAGTAGTAGTAGTAGTAGTAGTAGTAGTAGTAGTAGTAGTAGTAGTAGTAGTAGTAGTAGTAGTAGTAGTAGTAGTAGTAGTAGTAGTAGTAGTAGTAGTAGTAGTAGTAGTAGTAGTAGTAGTAGTAGTAGTAGTAGTAGTAGTAGTAGTAGTAGTAGTAGTAATAGTTCTAGTAGTGGTAGTGGTAGTATTAGTAGCGGTAGGATAGTAGTGGTCCTAGTAGTGGTAATATTAATAGTAGTAATAGTAGTAGTCTTAGTATTGTTATCATTATCATTAAATTTAGATATTTCTTTGCCGATAAACAAAACTGTTTATATTCAAATCATGTAAATCTCATTGAGTTCAACTGTTTAATTGTCTGATACAAAAGAAACAAATAGGAGAAAGGCACCAATTTCAAGTGATTGATTCTGTCCATGTCCTCCTGTTCAATTGTTACAATAAATGAAAAGTTGTAAATTATGAACCATACATTTATACATACATATAGATAGATAGATAAGTGGGTAGACAGGTAGAGAGAGAGTGTGTGTGAGAGAGATTACGTTACTTGAATGTAATCATTATATACAAACTATTATGAAAGTGTACTAGAGGTATGATTCGGTCACCTATGCTCCATTAGGAGTAAAAGGCATAAGTAAAGTAAGTAAGTAACTAGAGGTATGATGAAATTGTAAAAACCTTTTGAAATATAGAAAGAACTTCAAAAACAAAAGAAAAAGAAAAGAAGAAACCATCCGAAATTTCTTTCAACTACAAATGGATATCAATGTGAAGAGAAGAAATCTAAACAAACAAACAAACAAAGGAGACTGTAATTCAGTAGTATGATTACTACTACTCATTTACAAATTTAAGTACTTTGTATAAGCTGCCTTAAATTTATATTCACATTTACAAACTAAAATAAGTCTATATATTCATAAGTTATAATGTAAAGAAATAACAAAATACCTTCCCACCCCTCCCCGGTATATTTACCACAGTATTTAAGTAGTTTAATGTTGATATTGACAATATGAAAGGTTAATAGTAAGTTTTACCAATATAAAATGAATTGTGATTTATGTTAGAATTGGTAACTGATACCTTTGTTCATAGTGTTTATGATGTTTTATATGATATTAGTGATAGACCGGGATGAAAAAGGCTTTAATAGTTATATGAATGTTTATATAATGTTATAGATGAATTGTATTAAACTGTTCAGATATGTGTTATTGGTACCGACGACATAAGAAATAGATTATTGGCATCAATTTTACGTCCATTATGTTGTTGTCCAGGTAAACTTGTACCACTACTTCCACTTATAGCTGTACCATCTAATGGACCATTAGTAAATGATCCTGAATTAACTTGTAAACCTGATGTTCCAATAACTGAACCAACTGGAATAGGCATTGTATGATTTATATGAATACCAGTAGAATGATGACATTCAAGATTTGTTGATGGTGGTTGTGGAAGTAATCGACTATTAGAAATGTAATCATCTTGCCATGTTGTACAATTATTAACACCTAGATTTAATCCATTTGACAATTTTGAATGATTATTACTATTCATCCAAACTTTTGATTGTCCTGTATTCCAACTCATTGTACCTGGATTTGGTAGTGATAGTGGTGGTGGTGGTGGTGGTGGTGGTGGTGAACGATTTGGTACAAGTACTCCAGTATGACTTAAAACACCAATAGATACTGCTCTTTGATGATGATGATGATGATGTTTAGAATTTGTTTTAGATGAACAATGAACTACACGTTTTAAACATAATTGCCATGAATTCACTGTTTTACTAGACCATATCCAAAATCCTGATGTAATACCAATAACAAGTGACATAAAATATTTTAACATAAACACTGCATATTCCGGTTGAACATTTACATATTGTGGTGGATTTAAATGTAATGTAAAACCATGTTTACCTTTGATCATTTGATCATTTAATGATAATGTCTGATGATCAGGATCATGATCAGGATCAGGATCAGGATCATGATTGATAAATAATGATCTCAATTGATCTAATAAATTTTGATGTGTTAAATCTTTCATATATGATAATGTAATACATGGACAATTATGTCCTTTATTCCATAGATCACGATAATATAATTCATAACAATAACATGCTATAACAATAGTTGCTGGGACAATATACAATACACTAAATATACCAATACGAATCATTAATTTCTCTAATTTATCCGTTTTCAAATGACAACGAGTTTGACATTTAATTTCATTACGTATTTTAAATAAAGCAATAAAACCAGCAAATAAAAAGATTGTACCTAAACTTAAATAAATACACATTGGAATAAGGATAAATATACGTAAATAATATAAATTAATTGAACCAACAGTACATAAACCACCAATTGGATCACCATCAATTGCTGATAAAATCAATATGATGATCGCTTTTGTACCAGGAATAAACCATGCAAAAAAATGATAGATCTAAAAAAAAAGAAAATCAATAAGAAAAAAAAAAGATCAATTTTAATCATTCAGATCATGAATTGATTGAAACTAAATCAATATGGAATAGTTGAAAGTCACAATGGATTGATTACTGGGTAGTGATCAATGTCATACGTGTCAAGTTCTTATTTAATTTCCTGTTGACTACCTTCAACCACTATCTAAAATTTGAAAGTACTAGATGGCCGTTTTGTCTTATTATAGGATTCATCAGAAATACATATTCACAATCCTGCTTGTGGGAATCAAACGCAGATGCTTGCAGGCTTTTGATACAAGTACTCCAGATCAATATGGAAAACTTAAAAGTACTAGATGGCTGTTTTGTCATATTGTAGGATTCATCAGCAGTATGTATTCATAATCTTGCTTTTGGGAATCAAACCCAGGAGCCTTCAGTCTTGTACGTCGTCCAGTGTTTTCAGGTTCGTCATGTTGATCTAGCTTCAATAGAAATTACTACAATCTCTACAAAACACCTTCAGATTGTGAATAGTTAATTTTTTTATGAAAAGTTCAGAAGAATTACACATCAAAATAAATTATTATGATGGTTTGTATTTTATCACCAACTTGTTCTGTTCTACTTTACGGCTGTGAAACGTGGCCATTAAGAGTAGAAGATATTCGTAAGCTACTAGTATTTGGTCACAGATGTCTTAGAAATATTGTTTGCATCTTCTTGGATCACCAGGTAGGTAATAGTGAAGTTAGATAAATGACATTAGAGAATGATGGTAAATTAGTTGATGAGGTTGTAAATCTTCGTCGACTGAAATAATCGGGCCAAGTGTTACGTATGCCTGAACAGCGATTACCACGACGCTCAATGCTGACTTATGTAGGCGATGGTTGGAATAAAGTCAGGGGTGGCCAAATCAAAACGTGACATCGTTGCTTGAAGTCACTAACTTCTGGTCTGAACCATGTTGGTTGATGCAAACTGCTTGGTTGAGGTCCGTGTTACTATCGTAATCAATGGTTGGAGACTCTTGGTGACATGGATCAGAAACGATCACAATGCTGTAGATGTATACACTGTTTGTCTTCCGTAAATTATGAGATTAAAATTATTCTATATCTTTCTGTCTACGAACTGATTCTCTCTTCCTGTACTGTGTCCTGATGTGCAATCTTCCTTTTATACATTACTCCCATTTTTATTGGCTTATCACTAACTTAGACTAAAAACTACAGACTAAGATAATTACCATTCTAAATCAAGTGTGCTAGTGATAACATTATATTAAAAATGTAAAAACCAGATGACAGTAAATCGTTAATAGTGGTTTATTTTTTGATTAAGATTGTGAATCCACTGATGTTAGATCACCATTGAAAACCTGAAGACACTGGACGGTCTTCTGATCCTAGTATTTGACTCAGTAGTGCTCATCCACGACCCCACTCATGGTGTTCGAACCCAGGACTTTTGGTCTAGCGCGTGAACGCTTAACCTCTAAACCAATCATCTGGAATACAATGGTTTTAGTGTTTAACCCCAACTGATCCGCAAAATTGTGCGACTTGTCTCTACCTGATATGGATTAGCTCCACTGGTGACGGCTTCTTACTAGAAGTCCAAGAATTCCCTCACGAAGCTAGTCATTAATGAGCACATGCTAATGATCTGTATGGGGTTTGAATATTGCGAGCGGAATCGTGGATACATATTTCTAAGTAATCCCACAATAAAACGAAACGACTGTCCATTACCTCCAGGTTATCAATGGTAGTCTAGCATTCATCGATTCATGATCTCAATCAATCTCAACGACTTCATACTGGTCTATTTTTTCTCAAATTATAATTATTATGATTATTATTTAGTCTTTATTTTGGTAAAAAATCTCGAATTAACCATGTCATCTCAATGCAATCAAATGTACAGAATAAATATAAACTATAGCAATGTATTTCTAGGATGCAGTTGGACGATCAGCACTTCGTAGATGATCTGGCCCTTCTATCCCAACCGCAACAACAAATGCAGGAGAAGACGAACAGTGTGGCAGCAGCCTCAGCAGCAATAGGTCTCAATATACACAAAGGGAAAAGCAAGATTCTCCGATACAACACAGCATGCACAAATCCAATCACAATTGACGAAGAAGATTTGGAAGATGTAAAAACCTTTACATATTTGGGCAACATCATTGATGAACAGGGTGGATCTGATGCAGATGTGAAGACGTGGATCGGCAAAGCAAGAGCAGCACATCTGCAACTGAAGAACATCTGAAACTCAAAGCAACTGTCAACCAACACCAAGGTCAGGATTTTCAATACAAATATCAAGACAGTTCTACTGTATGGGGCAGAAACGTGGAGAACTACGAAAGCCATCATCCAGAAAATACAGGTGTTTATTAACTGTTGTCTACGCAAGGTACTTCAGATCTGTTGGCCAGACACTATGAGCAACAACGTACTGTGGGAGAGAACAAACCAGATCCCAGCGGAGGAAGAAATCAGGAAGAAGTGCTGGAAGTGGATAGGACACATATTGAGGAAAGCACCAAACTGCGTCACAAGACAAGCCGTCACATGGAATCCTCAAGACCAAATGAGGAGGAGAGGAAGACCAAAGAACACATTACGCCGAATAATGTAGACAGACATGAAAAAAATGAAGAAAAGTTGGATAGAACTATAAAAGAAGGCAGAATGGGACAGAGTGGGTTGTAGAATGCTGTTCGGTGGCCTATGCTCCATTGAAAGTAACAGGCGTAAATATAGCAATATATTGTGTTATTCATCGTTTTTTTTTTAAAAAAAAAATCAGATCTATTTTCTGAACAGTCAGAGTTTCTTCCACAATATAAATTACCTGAGAATATTTTGCAATAGCTTCAGTGCCCCATTTTAATCCAGCAGCTAAAAACCATGTTAATGTTAATATAACCCACCATATAGATGATGCCATACTAAATATATATGTTAATAAAAATACAATACTACATTGTATAGGTCCAGTTGTATTCATTCTAAGCATTAATCCATTACATGCAATCAATTCATGTCCTATAATAATACGTATTATATAACCAATTGCAATCATAAAATAACATGTTGATAAATAAATAATTGAACGTTCCGGATATTGAAACCGATTGGAATCCACTAGAAATGTGATCATTATTATTAATGTTGATAGAATACATAATATAGACCATAAACTAAACCAAAATGTTATAAATGTTTTATCAGATTGATTATTAAATATTGGATAATAACATGATGGTAAACAATTTTTAATATGACCAGTTATGACTTCATTTAATGGTGGTTTTATCCATTTTATAAATGGATCACGACATTCACATGGTAAACATAAATAAAGATTAAATAAATTTTCATTAGATTGAATTGATTTTTTATTGATTTGATTGGATTTTTTATTGATTTTTTGAGAATTTATTTTTGTTGTGAAATATTGATGTAATTGATTCAATATTTCTGATGGTGGACTATTTGAATCATTTGGCTTTATATATAAATGAATTTGTTTGATAAAATTATATAATTCCATATTTAATGATAGGTCTTCACCTTTTCCAAGTATAATATCATTCATCTTATGATCATGATTATTATTATTATTAGTAGTAGTAGTAGTAATAGTAGTATCTTTATGGATCATTCCAACTTGTTGTTCACCAGAAGGTAAAGATGATGATGACGAGGATGTCACTTTTCTATTGTTTGGTGTATTACTTCGACTAACACATTCATTCTAAGAAAAAAAATTTCAAAAAAAACAACAACAACAGGTCATTATTTTATTGAAGAAGTACTGTGGTGTGTGCTACTTATATCTTGTAGTGTTGGTTATTATGTTAAGCCCATATAGTTTATTCTAGCATTCGGAGAGCTTATTCTATTCATTCAACTTGAGTCACATTCTGACCTTGTTATTTATCCGCTCATCAATCTTGACTGTTTTTATATGATCCCGGTAGGTGTGTGTACACTTCTTATCCCATTACTCATCACATGTCTGTGTGACTATAAATATTGATTAACGCTTGACTAAATAGGAGTTGGCTTACCCTCCATCTCCACTGGACGTCATTTCGCTTCTCTCTATTCTATTCGCTTCATATATGAAATATATGGATTCACAAGTCCATTCTCGTTATTTGACTTATTTAATCCCATTATTGACTAACGCGATTTAAGTCGATGATTATATACGAGGATAGGCGATATATATATACTTCAACAACAATCATCATTACAATCTCATTGGAGTCAGATCTCGAGACACTAAAGTGGAGAGCCTTTTCGACAACATCATTCGATTTAAATGACGATTAAATAACGGGCCTCCACAAACTACATAAGTAGTATACAACGATAATCGGGAATAGAATGTTTTACAGTAGAAGATTGAAAAGAAAAGAATAGGATCAGAAATCAAATGGTATGACAATGTAGCAATCATGAAATTGGAGACGATGAACTAAGATTTGCAAAACAAAACATAGTCAAGTTTGAGACAATTGATCGATATTGTGCAAATGAAGTATTTACTGTATGATTCTTAGAGTTTAGTAAATTGTTCTATAATTTTTGTATCCAAGTACAGTCGATTGTCTCCCCGCCCCCTTTCGTATTCTTGTTCACTACAGTCCAACTTTGTAGTTTCTCTTTAATATAAAACATCGATTTGATTATAAAGTTACATAATCAATTTAAGGATTATGTTTATTTATCATTCTTAAATTGAAGTAAATGACCAATTTATATTATAACTTACACTACAATCAACAACATACTTTTCATCCTATTTTTGGCTCATTAGTAACAGTGTCCAAGAGGTATTTCCTGGAGCGCTAGTGAGAAGCCGTGACCAGTGGAGTTCAACAGGGTCTGTTGTGAGATGGTAACTCACTTAAGACAATGATGGATGTGTCGCTCAATTTCGTGGATTAGTTAAAGTTACAAATTACCACAATTACACGCCGAACCATTCAGTTTTCTAGTGGTTAAGCACTCACTCGCGAGACTGATAAGTTCTAGGTTTAAATCTTGCGAGGTGGGATCATGAATGCGCACTGCTGAGGAGCCTCATATTAGAACGGAACAGCCGTCCATGGTGGTCTAGCTTCAATCGATTCATGATCTCAACTATTAAATACACTTTTTTTTGTTGAGATTCATCATCTAGATAGATCTATTTCCTAGTTGTTGATAATAACAATAACACCAGAGCTAAGTAATTATCACTATCCATGTTATTATTTAATCCATCAATTCAATGAATCCAGTTAATCCTAATGCCCATCTGGTTATTTAATCCATCTAATCCATTTCAATGAATTTGAAAATTTAATTGTTGACATATGAAACCTGAGTAGTATGCTATTAGTCTGAAGAAGCATCTTAAACTAATTTGCAAAACGTCAGAAATCTAATTTTCCACTCATCAACATATGACAAACATATTATTGATTTAATTATGAATGACATTATGTTACAAAATGGTTAAGGTCAAGATATATTCAAAGTTATATAACGTTAGCCTAGTTTCAGTAGATGATATCCCTTTGAAATAATTTAGAAAAAAATTTTTTTGTTTTGCAAATCTATAAAGATCTTTCGTTAACAATTCCAAATGTAATTTCAATGGTTAAGAACATGAGTCATTTGAAGCTAGACCACCATGGAAAACTTGGAAGCACTGGACGGCCGTTTCGTCCCATCGTGGGACTCCTCAGCAGTGCACATCGACGACCTCGCCCCCTGCGAGATTCGAACCCAAGACCTACTGGTTTCGTGCGCAAGCACTTAACCACTAGAACACTGAACCGTTCGGCATGAAATTGTGCTAATGTCTAACTTCAACTAACCCACGAAATTGAGCGACACATCCACCATTGTCTTCAGTGAGTTACTATCTCACAACAGACCTGGTTGAACTCCACCATTGAAATTACTATAATATCCACAAAACCCATGTGATATTAATTCCAAATGTATTGGATACCATATAAATGAATAACAAAAATTTAGCGGTGGACAATTCTTTCACAAATTCATTTGAGATGGTGGAGAAGCTCGATGGAGATCAACAAGAACCAATCAACATCAAGGTCTATAGGACAAGTTGTGAACCATATATGGAGAAATTCGAACAATTCACTTCTACCTGGAGATTGTGCTGATAATGTTGTTCAGAAGAACGATGAAAGCTTCAAGACAAAACCATCTTGATTGGAGAACAAAACTCCATCAATAACACATTCTTTTACAATGTTTTCTTGGTTTTTTAAGTACCATTGATTATTCTATCTAAATTAATACACTCATAGGTAAATATAATCAAAAAATAAACATCAGGACTCAGTGGAAGAATGCAATAGAATGGACAACTTAGGTGTAACTAGACGATTTGGATTTTGCAGACGACCTAACTATCCTATACCAAACACACACACTAAAAAATAAAAGTGAAGATAGACAGTATCGTAACAGCCTCCACAGCAGTAAACTTGAATACACACAAGGCAGAAAGAAGCAACATACACATATACAACACACACAACATCAACACAATCACTCCCTATGCAGAAACTTTGCAAAAGGTGGAAACTATCATGTATCTGGTTAGCATCATCAATCAACAAGGAGCATCCGATGCAAACGTAAAGGTGACGATTGACAAAGTGAGGACAGCATTCATACAGTTGAACAAAATATCAAATTCAAAACAACTGTCTGCAAGCCAATATCAACATCACAATCTTCAATATGAATATCAACACACTTCCACTGTACAGAACTGAAACGTGCAGAACAATCACAACCACAAACATGTATGAGTGGTCATAAACCGTTGTCTAAGCCGAATACTCAACATCAGTGGACCAAATACTATCAACAACAGTTTACTGTGAGAGTGAATAAATCAGTTTCCATCTAAACAGGAAATTAGGGAAAGAACCTAGAATTGGTATGTATGACATAGATTGTGGAAATCAACAAACTGCATCAAGAGGCAAGCGATAACATGGAACCGTGACGATAAACGAGAAAGAGGAATACAAAGGATCATATTGAGTTGTGAATTGGAATGAGAAATCAAAAGAATGGATAGCAATCGGAAACAACTGTAAAGGAGTGAGGATGTCAAAGTTGATTGTATATTGGTTGTGGATGACCCTATGCTTTCTTCACGAGGGTTAACATTTGTAAGGAAGTAAATAATATTTAGTTAGATCAATAAAAATTTTCTTTTTCTGATTGAAATCATGAATCGACACTATAACCACTGGATGCCGGCCCAGTGGTCCAGTAGGTTAAACGTTCACACTCGAAACCTAAGTCCCTGGGTTCGAATCTCGCAAGCGGGATCGTGAATGCGCACTACTGAGGAGTCCTACAATAGGACGAAACGGCCGTCCACAGCTTCTAGGTTTCCATAGGTGGTCTAACAACAATCGATTCATGTTCTCAATCAAAAACTTTATTATCTGCACAACTCCTATACTAAAAATTTTCCTAATATAAGCATCATCATCTTCAATATTGATAGATATATATTCTGTTTCATCAAGTAATAAAATAACTGAGTCATTTGAATTTATCTTTAGGCTAATTTGTATCCCGCTGTGTAAAGAAAAGAAACAAGTCGTCTAAGAAACGGATACAAACAAAATGGAAACCTTTTTTTGCTTTTTCTTTGTGTTTTATTCCATTGATGAATAGATCTGTAATTGAATCAATGATTTGTAATTGTAAACAGATTATCAGTTGTTATTGTTTACTTGTATCATCTAAATAGAACAAAAACGTACATCTTGGATTCTATTGATAGTCATTATCTATTTTTTTTTGTTTGTTTTGAAAACAGCTTCATTCACTTGAATGGTAGAAGTAGTTATAAACATTGATTTACTCAAGATACTCAACATTCATTGTCTGGATACTATTAGCCATAGTCTATTGTGAGAGTGAACAAATTAGCTTATATGTGAAGATGAAATTATGAAAAGACTCTGGATATGGATAAGATATACATAACATCTGCTCTTTGTATTCTCCCGAATTCTAATCTTCTAAATTCTTCATGTCCCTTTCCTTTTTTCTCTTTCCAAACTTATTTCACTGGATTATACTCCTTGAATAATATGTCGTTTTTCGTGTCCTCCAAAACAGAGAATTTACGAGGACACTTCAAAAATGTTCAAAAGCCTAGAACAAATTATTTGTCAGCTGACTATCGACTTTTCCATCGAATCATCAACGAGTGGAATTCATTAGTTCAGCACGTAATCGAGGCTCCATCTGTCGACTCTTGAATCAACTGAGAGACCACTATTGCCAAGACTAACACAGACCATCAAGCCTCCTGTCCTTTCCAAACTGAAACTGAAACCCTAATGTTTCCGATTACTGCTTATACTCTTACTACCTCTATCACTATGGGATTTGAATTGATAACTGCATCTGTGTACTAATGTGGTATGGCTAATTGAATTGATGTACGTACGTATGATGTTCCACATTGTTACTGAATGACTGACTGACTGACTTATTAACCATATAAATGGATAAACATTTCTATCTAATCAGAGAGATTGTTACTATCTAAATTATTCAAGATACTGATAAACCATATAAAAATGCAAATGTTATTATGATTGATACATCGAAACTAATGATTGAGATAGAATTCCACTGATAAATTTGCAATATGGTTATATTATGATAATGAACTATGTTTGATATCATGAAGACAATCAAAATAAGAGATCTATAATATAGATTTCATGTGAAGTAGCTGAAAATAATCGATCAAAGACCCTTAGATTATATTTAGTAATAAGATAAACATGAAATCTTTAGGGCATTAACTCTTTCCATGTGACTTGAATTCATATTACCGAGTTTTATAGTGTAAGATGTTGTCAGTGAGTCATTTACGTTACAGCTGACTTCTTGCAGTCACTGATGAATGAACGATATCATGTTTTTCTATTCCTTTAACGCTGTTTAGACTCTATATAGTGGCTATTTTAGTGGTTATATAGCAAACGGATTGTTAGGATTTGATCAGTACTAAAGACTAGACAAACCTAATATTATTCACCACCCAATTAGTAGTCAATTCAAACCTAGAATTCATTGTAGGTAAATCATATCAAAATGAAGGTAAACATAATGAGAGCAATATACTTGAAATCCTCAAAACCAAAGGAGAAGAGAAAGACTATTACGCCAAGAAATGGAGACAGACATGAGAATAATGAACAAAAAATTGAATAGAACTGAAAAGGAAAGCTCAGGAGGGAGTGCTTAAGAGAATGCTGGTCGGTGGCCTATGCTCCATTGGGAGTAACAGACGTAAGTATGTCAATAAGTAAGAAGTCTTCCATGACTATTCACATTATAAGATGATCCTAGATCCCATTTCTGGAAGATTAAGGAGTGCTAGGATGATACAGTTATTCAGATCTACATGTCTATAAATGTCTTTGCATTATCATTATTATTATTATTACTCTTAAGATCTCCACCCAAAATTCTATGTTTAGTACCATATGGAAATCTCTACATACACTATTTCAACGAGTTTCGCTTACTCTTCTTATATCATAAGGTAACAATCGTAAACTGTTTGTACATGTACATGAAATGAGTAACTAATGTATCTGGAATGATATGAAATGTCTTCTTTTTTAGTAAAACAAGAATCAGTATAACCTTTACTTAACAACATGTTTAAGGGTACAGACTATTGGCTAGGTCAGCTCTTACAAACTAGTGTATTTACAAGATAAGATATTGCAGAGCTTTGCTTAAATGCATAGATTCCAATGTATTGGCGTTTCGTTCTATCAAAAGATATCAAAGAAAAAAAGATGTGAATGAAGTTGATGGTTGGTATCTACTAAGTTAACACCTATCAGCTAATTTCGTTCAACGAAGGAGAAAAACCTCAGCTTTTAAAAAAATATGCTCATGTTAATAAAGTGACAAGCTATTTAGGCTACAATTACTAAACTTGAGCACATATACAAAGTTACAAGTAGGCACCGAATAGATATGCGCCACATAAATCATCCGATTTATGTGGGATACTTCCTGGGTGCCCAAATGGAATCAGGTGGTTTTCTTAGAGGACCGCACCCGAAGCCTTTGATTAAAAGGTCTGATCCACAATGCAATGAAGCAACGTCAGGAGAAGTAGTCCCATGGTAGTTGGTGACCAACGATTGATTCACAAGCCGTTTGTTCCTTCAGGATCCTGGAGTTCATATGCACCATTTGTTTGGAATCAGGGTTTCCCACATCCCCTAGGTGAACTCTCCGTGTCCACAAACCTGGTTAAAGCACCGAACATTCGCTTTTTGTCCTCTCAATTTCATAAACAACAATAGTTTCTCGAGAAGGTAATAAGTAGGATTTCCCTGGCAGTGGTTGTGTGCATGTGGCCATGTGAGTGCATTTCGAAAGGAAAAGCTGACTCTCCCCACTCTTGGTTGTACCAGAGCGTTTGGGGGCCGGCCTAATCCAAAGTAATTGCTGAGCATTAATAAACAAAATGTATTATGACATAATACTTTTTTTCAATGAAAAAAAGTTAATCTACTTACTCCTTCTGGTAGAAGATCACAATTCATCCTTTCAGGCCAACCAAATCCATAAGTACGCATAACTGGCATACATCCATCACGTGCACTTTCACATAATGATTTGCATGCAGTTAAACGATAATGCCAATTCGGTAAACAAATTGGTGTATACATACTACACAGAAATAATCTTAAATCATCTGAACAATTAATTTCAACCAAAGGATAGAATTGATGGACCTTTGAAAATAAAAAAAAGAAGAAAATAATAATTGTTAAAATTATTGATTCAGATCATGAATTGATCAATGTTAGACAACCATGGGAAACCTGAAAGCATTAGACGGTTGCTTCATCCTAGTAATGGGATTCCTCATCAGTGATTATTGATGATCCCACACAAAAAACTCGAACCCAGGATATTTAGTCTTGCACGTGAACACTTCTAGACAACTGTGCCAGTATCCAACAATGTCAGTGTTTAATTTCAAACAATCTATGACATTGCGCGACCATCTTCCATTGTCTATAGTTGATAACTGTCTCACACCCAACATAGATTAGTTACACTAGCTATGACTTCTCAATAGAACTCTGAAAATTATTTCTCGAAGTTAATAGCTAATGAGCATATGATAATTATCAGTGGAGTTGTAGAGACTGTTATTAAAAAAGGGAACTAACATTTCAATATTTTAATGACCTCAGAACCAACACTAATGAAGAGTCATTTTGTTTAATTATAACGAGTCGTCAGTAATTCTCTAGTTAATCTCAATTAACATACTTCTATGAACATCAATCTAAACAAAAAGAAACTGTAAACTCTGATTGAAGATTATGTACATTAAACCACAGCCGATAATTACAAATTTCACACACACACACACACAAACACTTTCTAGCGCTCATATTTAGCTATCAGAATACTATGAAACTCAATAGAATTAAAGAAAACATATTTGAAAGGGGTTTTCATGGATATTATGGTAATGTTAATAGTTGAGATCATGAGTCGATTGAAGCTAGACCACCATGAAAAACCTGAAAGCACTGGACGGCTGTGGATTGGTTGAAGTTAGACATAATACCGTTGGATGCCAGCTCAGTGGTCGAGTGTTTAAACACTCGCCCGCGAGACTGATAGGTTATTAGTTTGAATCTTGCAAGGCGGGATCGTGCATGAGCACTGCTGAGGAGTGTCATACTAGGATAAAATGGCCATGCAGTGATTCCAGGTTTTTCATGGTGATCTAGCTTTAATTGATTCATGAATTTAACCATCAAATTTTACATGAAATCAGACTGCTTGTCTACAATCGTAAACGATAGAGGTAAAAAGAAATACTTCACATTTATTTTCGTATCGATTATTTTAATTTTCCCATTGATGTTTAGAACTACAACTTGTCAGTCACTTATTGGCATGTATGCATCTTGAGCGGATTGCCTGCATGTAGTCTTAATTTACAAGTATTATAAGCTGAGATGATAGTGGCTAGCAGTGGAATCCAGGATGAGTGTTTCAGCTTGCATCCCATAGTCCCGGAGTGAACATCAATTCTGGGATGTGATGAGTCTCAAATAGAACAAAACGCATATCCTAGATCCCACTGTTAGCCACTATCCATGTCATATTTGTATCAATTTTGTTGATGTAGCATGATCTATGAGTAATTTGGATATTATGCCTCTGATGGTGTGAAATTTTTCCTTAAAAAATTACTCAGACAAATAGCAGATTTCCATGAACTATAAAAACAGTAATTAAACGTTACATAGAGGTTTAAATTTTCTGTCCATCGATATTCTATAGTGATCTATTTGTAACCTTAATGCATTACCTCCACAATACTTTCGGTCACAATTTCGTAAAATTGGTTTGTGCCCTAGTCGTATATGCTACACACCAGCTGAGTCAGCATGATCCCCAGTATTGATGTTCACACTAAGACTCGAACTTACTCTCAATATCATTATTAGATAATAAGAGATACATTATAATTATAGATAGTCTGATTTCAATAAGAATTTGTAGATAGAATTCAAGTTAAAACGTGTTGATACTAAGAAGAAATATTCATAAAGAGGAAGTTACCCCTTCGAAGGCAATGGAAGATGGTCGTGTAATATCGCAGATTGATTGAAGTTAGACATTAACAATGTTGAATGCCTATTCAGTGGTCTAGAAGTTAAAAGTTCGCGCGCGAGACCGAAGGTCCCGTAATCAATGTCTACACCCAAGACCGTGGATACGCACAGATGATTAGTCCCACACTAGGATGTTTTCAATAGTTGTCTAGCATTGATCGATTCATGATCTTAATGAAACTCAACAATCTCCACTAACCTATACTAGGAAAGATGAATAGATTTCGATAAGAAATAGTCATACTATTATCAATATTAATTGAATAATTGTCATTGATTATAGTAAACTATCACACTAAGCATCGATAAATCTACTCCATATAACAAAGTATGATTGAATTAAATGAAAGAATTAAAACATTCATCTGTTACAATTGATCATAGTCATAGTTATTGTATTAATGGTAATAGAAGTTTATAAAGAATCCAATCTAGAGAGCACATATGTGCCTTTCTGAATATTCAGAATACTTCATGTTTATTTACTCTGATAAAAGCCATGACCATATGTAATTAGTTAGTTAGTTAGTTATTCTGTTAATCAGTTTTCATACATATGTCTTTGTTTATGCAGATGACTTTTCTTTGTATATTTACGTTAATCCGTATACATTCCATGTGTGGTTTATGGACAAACATTTGTAACTATCGGATGAATACTTTTCTAAAAAACTACATTCTTCAAATTGTATTTTGGTATGTTACTTTCTCCCTCTTAGTGAACATATACCTTTAGGGCACACCCTTCCCCCTCCCCCCCCAAAAAAACAGAAAAGATAGGTAGTGTAGACAGAAAAACTTGAAGATATTGGTGTGGTTATTGTTGTTATTACTGTAATCAGTACAATAGTAGATATAATGCAAAGAATACATTAGAAAAAGGAGTATTTCAACATACGTTTATACTTTAAACCTTTAATTGGTCTAGAGATTGTATCAAATTTCGAATGAATCAATTAATGATTACAATTGGTGAGTAATGTAACTAGTTTGTTTTGTCCTGCACCACTCTACAGTTACGGTACTCTAATGGATGCGTTTGGTTTATGGTAATTCTGAAATACATATTTCACGATTAGAACATGTTGGAAGTAGCTCATATGGCAGTATTATCGTCATAAAAAATGACTGCTACCACTCGTGAAGAAAGGATAGGGCCACCCACAACCAATATACAATCAACTTTGACATCCTCACTCCTTTACAGTTGTTTCCGACTGTTATACATTCTTTTGATTTCTCATTCCAATTCACAACTCAATATGATCCTTTGTATTCCTCTTTCTCGTTTATCGTCACGGTTCCATGTTGTCGCTTGTCTCCTGATGCAGTTTGTTGATTTCCACAATCTATGTCATACATACCAATTCTGGCTTCTTTCCCTAATTTCCTGTTTAGATGGAAACTGATTTATTCACTCTCACAGTAAGCTGTTGTTGATAGTATTCGGTCGACGAGTGTTGAGTATTCGGCTTAGACAACTGATTACAACCACTCGTACATGTTTGATGATGATTGTGGTTGTTTGTCACGTTTCAGTTCTGTACAGTAGAAGTGTGTTGATATTCATATTGAAGATTGTGATGTTGATATTGGCTTGCAAACAGTTGTTTTGAATTGGGTATTTTGTTCAAGTGTATGAATGCTGTCCTCACTTTGTCAATCGTCACCTTTACGTTTGCATTGGATGCTCCTTGTTGATCGATGATAATTTTTCAATCTGATGTTGAGTATCTGTAAAGAACGCTAACAATCCAAACCAAACTGAGATTCTAGATATCTTAAGGTTGATAATTTTCAACTATTACACATCAAATTTAAATACTTTCCGATAGTGACTAATTTATCTCACTATTGAAGAAGTACCATCGCATAAGTAAACTTTTGTTAATACGGAGTAGTAGTTATATAATATGCCATTGTAAGCCAGGGTAATTTTACATCGGTTTTCAGAAGGACCAGAAACCATCCAGACTTCCACGTGACAACCCAAACAAACAGTACAGCTCAATCCCGCTTCACAGGAGAGTCAGACACCGTATAGGCTTTAACGCTACAATCTGAATAGTACAGCTCAATCCTGTGGCTCAACCACACAGGTAGCAAGCACCCTGGTGGACCATTTGCACCATTCATCTACACATCCACATCGCATGTACAGTTATTCCGATCAATAACCTCGTGAGTTAATTATGCACAGCACGAACAGGCCAAACTTGACCTATTCCACTTACACGACAGTCAAACTCATTAATGTTAACAATGGCAACATGCTTTACAATATCCCAATAATCACCAGTGTATGAATGAAATCGGTTAACGAGCAAATCAACTTTGTGCTTGAACAGTCAACAAAACTTGCCAAAATAATGTAGAACCATTTACAATATCAATAGCGAACCTCCAGTTTCATATTGAAACCTTTAGTTCTACATAGTTATCATCAATCCGGATTAATACATATATATCAAATGACAATCAGAAAAATCATGCACAAACATAAGAACAAAAATCAAAACAATCGGAGACACAAGCAAAACAAAGAAATAAACAATGACGAATTTAAGGTCAATAAGAACCAATCAACATCGAGGTGCACAAAACAAGCTTTGAAACACATATGGAGCAATTCAAACACTTCACTTCTATATGAAGTTTGTGCTGATGATGTCGTTCAGAAGAACGATGAAAGCTTCACGACCAAACCATCCAGCTCAGAGAATAAAACCCCATCAAAATGACAATTTAGCTAACAGTCACAATGATCTACATAATCATTCAGTTTATGAAATGTATCCTGGGTTCGAGCCCCGCGTGGTGCAGGATCGTGGATGCGCACTGCTGAGGAGTCCCATACCAGGACGAAACGGTCATCCAGTGCTTCCAGGTTTTCAATGGTGGTCTAGCTTCAACTAACTCATGATTTCAATCTGTGAAAATTTTTAAAAATCTCCACAAACCCCTTCTGATAAATATTTAATTTCAAATTATAATTACTTTCAACTATCTTATTCTTCTTCTTCTTTTTGCTACTTCATCTTCTTTTAGAATCTCTTTAGAAAAAAACCTGCTGTGAATCTACACTAGTG